ATAAATCCTGCCCTGTCTTTCCTTTCTAGTATTTATTAAGTCAACCAGGCACTTTTCCAACTCACTTCATTTTCCATTGCCCATTTATTCCACTTATTGAATCTTTAGGGGATCTCCAGAGAGCACCCACCAATTGTGTCGATCATGCCTAGGGCTGCACAACTGTCTATTAAGAACGTAATACCATAAACTCCATTCAGATCCATTACAAAGTACTTCTGTCTTCTAAATGACTTATGGTGGTAACTGGTTTGAAAAAACAGCTTAGGAAAGGTATTTAGCCAAATTTTGAGATTTAAATTTGAAACAATAAAATAAAGAAAGCATAAAAAAATTTCCTGCATTAAAATAGTGTACTTCTGGCACACACTCTAAAAATTTATCAAATCAATTAACACATTTTTATTTGTAATAGTTCTTAGAATTTTATAGTGGTTTTCTCATAAACATAAACCTAACTGAAGAGAAAAATAATCCCAACTCTAGGTAAGACAGATGCAATTATACACATTTAACAAATGAAAAAAAATTATAACCATACCTATCTAAATATTCAGAGGGTACTTTGTACTGACTTTATATTTTCTAAATTCACCTCCTCTATATATGACTCTCATGAGACCAAGACAACCTAAGAATTGAATCCAAGACACTGGAGCTCTAATTACAACCCTTGTAGTTATTTCACAAGGTAGTTTCACTGCAAGAAGGGGCTATTAATCGCTGTCAATTTAGGTGGTAAATCTCTCCCAAATGCATTTGGAAATGCATACAGGTGCCTTCTCCATAGTTATGCCACTACTATTCAATAGGAAATCAATACTGGGGGACCAAAAATTGGTAAATTATCTGCAATGAATGACTTGTACAGTACAAGCAAGAATCACCCTGCAAAATTTGCCAACATCTCACCCAGTGAGAATCTTTGGAGTAAGTCATGCATATGGTGATTTGGAGTGCTCATATGCAACTCTGTGACTTGAGCACTTGCTTTTAACAACAGGGAAAAGGATTACTTCATAAAATGGGCCTATAAGATACAAGCAAAAGGTCAGGGTGTGAAGTCCAAAGAAAATGCATACTCAGAATAGCCTCTTGAGAAAAGTGTTAATTGTAAGGTTCACAGAGGTCAATTCCACATATTAACACTGGTAGATGTTAATTAGCACATTCAGATTTCATGAGAATTTTACTGCCAATGCTACTTTGAGTTTCGTTAGTTTGGTGGAATGTATGTGTCCAGAAAGTAATGGTTAGTAGAATAGCTGGGAGGGGAGGGCTTGTTAAAATCCTTCAATGCACCTACTGAAACATTTCATGGGAGCCCTCTGTAACTATGGCATACTGGAAGAACCAAGCACTGTGGTCCCCACAGTAAGAGGCAGTGAATTGAAAGAGTGATTTAGGGCCTGTTAACACAAATGAGAGAAGACAGCCTGCCCTATGTGTGACAGTCTCTCTACAAAGTTTAGACAAGGCAAAGATGTTTCTTTTCTCTCTGTCATCCTCTCTCTGCAACCAGCAGATGAGTATTTCATAGTGGAATAATTCAAAGTGAAAGAACCCATGGGTAATGCACCAACAGTCATCGAACGTTCCTTAAACCACTTGATCTTACTGGAGCATCCACATGCCATATCTGCCCTTTTGTAGACAAATTTCAGGCATTCAATTGGATTTAAATCTTTCTCTCCATCCTGTCTTTCTCTGTCTCTAGATCCTGATAGGATTATCTAGCATTGGGCAAGGCACTAGCATAAGTTTTAAAAAAGACTCTTTCACATTCTGCTTCAGTGCTTAAGTCAGAATCTGACCAGTCTCACACTCAGAATTTCATATCCCTTTATTCATCAAGGCCTAAGTAGTTGTACATATAGTTAAGGATGTTGCAGCCAAATGCCTTCTCCACAAAAGTAAACTTTTAAAATAAATGATCTTGACACGTATTATAACACTTAAATATGTATTGCAAAAACATATAGTATACAAGACATTGTGCATATTAGGTCTTCAACAAATGCCTTTGCAATAAATAAAATTTCTTTGAATTTATGCTTTATTTGACTAGTAAGTAATGAGCTAAGAAACAAATCTCATCAGTTAAGTAATAGAGAAAAATTTGAACATCCAAGACTCATGAAGAAACATCTTCCTAAATGATGGGAATCAAACATTACATCTGTTTGTATTACTTAAAACATTTCCAATTATGGAGGGAAAACAATGAATCAAATTGTTATATTTTAATGCTGTGACATGTACTCTACTTTTAATCTATATGCATTCAGTTTTCTATTATACATTCCAGACTGGCTCATGTGCTTGGTAAAAATCAAATTCTGTTTGGATTCTTGGACAAGCCATTAATGCCTTACCATACCCACAGAAAATCACATTCAGCACCATGGACAACACAGAATTGCTCCTTTCTGAACCACAGCTGTTTGCTGAATGATTTTTTTTCTCCTACTAAAACATCCAGACACACGTCTGTCTCTTAATTGCAGGAGGGGTTGTTAACAAGACATCTTGAATTTTAACAACCGATTTTAAAATGAAGAAAATGCACTAAAAAGAGAACTGGGGGAAATCTTAATTACTTTTGCAGAATTCAAAAATTGACACCCCAGAAAGTATAAAAAGGCCTTCCGAGGCAGACATTGATTCTTTACAGATGGAAAAAAAAATGAGGGGTGGGGGCAGATAGTTATCAATGACTAACAAACGGAAGATATTAGAGGAGGTACTCAGACAATTATGAAAGAATGGGAAAACGAGACTGACAGTGTTATCATTGTAAATGCATCAAGGCACACTGGAGGAAGTAAAATTTACATATGGGGTAGCAAAAATAGTTTGAGAATTTGGTCTCATAAGGGAAGAAGGAATCCCCATGGTTTTCTAATACAAAAATCATAAATAGTAGCAAACTTGTGGCCAGTTCTTCAGTTTTTATTAAAGAGACAGGAGGTGAAAGACAACTCAATAGTAGAGTTTCCTCATGAATAATGCCTTAGAAATAGTAATTACAAAATATTTCAGATTAGTTTGTAACAAACATACAATCTTGATTTAAAAATGTGTGATGTTCACTTCCTCTGTCCATTCCATTCCCTGTGGATAAGGTAGTCACTTGTTTTTAGATTTCTGTTGATTTCTTTATGAACACATGCATTTGTCAAATATTTATTAAATGCCTCCTATATTTTAGGAAGTTTGATAGGTAATAAGTACACAAGAGTGTTCAGGACATAGTGCATATCCTATAGAAACTCAACTGTTGGAAAAATGCAGACAATCATGTTGGTCAAGAGCAACACATTCTCATGGTAGAAAGTAAATAAATACTGGTTTTCTTCTGATTTTCATTTGCATGCTTTATGTACAAAATGTATACTGTGCCTAGTTTCATTGAATTGTATAACCTCCTTCTGCACACCTGAGTAGCTTTTTAATGTCTGTATAGTTCAAAGTCCCTCTCCCTGTTTCAACAGAATTGATTTCTCTTTTCTGCTTTCTGCTAAGAATAATATGGCATCCTGCTTTCTGCTAAGAATAATATGCTTGTTATTATTTATTTTATATTTAATATATGTTTAGATATGCTTTTTGTTTATGATATCAATATATGATGAGGAATTTTTAAGAGAAAAGATGATCAACTGAGGAAGAAGCTTTAAGTTTTATTAAAATACAAAATACTGCAAAATATTTTTAAAGTTTATTAATTAAGCAATTCCTTCCAGATAATTTGTGCTTTTTATGAAGTCTAAAAACCTTAAATTCAAAATAATTTTGGTGATTTTTATAAATAGTTGTTATTATAGTGGTACTATATGAGGATATTCTTGCATTGCTATAAAGAAAAACCTGAGGCTGGGCGCGGTGGCTCACGCCTGTAATCCCAGCACTTTGGGAGGCCCAGGAGAGTGGATGACGAGGTCAGGAGATCGAGACCATACTGGCTAATACGGGGAAAGCCCATCTCTACTAAAAAATGCAGAAAAAAAAAATCAGCTGGGTGCGGTGGCGGGCGCCTGTAGTCCCAGCTACTAGTGAGGCTGAGGCAGGAGAATGGCGTGAATCCGGGAGGCGGAGCTTGCAGTGAGCTGAGATCGCACCACTGCACTCCAGCCTGGGCGACAGAGCAAGATTCCATCTGTCTCAAAAAACAAAAACAAAAACGAAAACAAAAACAAAAACCTGAGACTGGGTAATTTATAAAGAAAAGAGGTTTAATTGACCTCACAATTCTGTAGGCTTTATAGAAAGCATGGTGCTGGCATCTGCTTGGCTTCTGGTGACGCCCAGGGAGCTTTCAATCACGGCAGAAGGTGAGGGCAACAGGCACATCACTTGTTGAAAGCAGCAGCAAGAGACAGGGCGAGAGATATCACACACTTTTAAACAACCAGATTTCCTGTGAACTCAGAGCAAGAGCTTGCTTATCACCAAGGGGTTGGCCCAAGACACTCATAAGGGATCCACCCCCATGATAAAAGCACCTCTCACCATGCCCCACTCCCAGCACTGGAGGTTGTATTTCAAAATGAGATGGGAGTGAGGACAAATATCCAAACTATATCAGGTAGTAACAGGTAATAAAAAATACCCTTTGACCTCTATATGCAATGTAATATATTAAGTGCTTTACTTGCTCTATCTTACTTAATTTTTTTTTTATTTTATTTATTTTTTATTTATTTATTTATTTATTTTTATTTTTTAGCTTTCAACACCTTTATTGGAAGGATCCTCAAGGCTGTGGGCACCGAGGTCTAGAGGCAACACAACCAGCACCCATCCACCCATCCACCCACCACAGTGGCAGAGCGCACCCCGTGCAAAACCCCATCACAGAGAGGACCATGGAGCCGCTACAAAGCCATCATGGAGAGAAGGAAAGTCCCCACTTTCCATCAGCCCCGGCCAGGCCTGGCCCCTCAACCCCTGTAGAACCCCAGGCAGGCCAACGTGGGAGGCACCAAACGTGGGTTCCAACTGCTTCTCCAAACCCTGTAGTCTCACATGAGGCAGGGAGGAAATCTGAAAATGGCAGCAGCCTGGGTGCGGAGGCTGCTGCCCGTGATCCCACCACTTCGGAAGGCCAAGGCAGGTGGATCACTTGAGCCGAGGAGTTTGAGATCAGCCTGGACAACATAGTGAGAGCCCATCTCGACATTTAAAAAAATCTCTTTAAAATATAAAATAAACAGCAATACAAAGAAAAAACCCCCAAGCTGCAGCATGTACACAATGTCACTTTTCCAGCATTCCTGATGGGAAGACCACAAAGCTCACAAAGGCCGAGGGCAGGTGCAGGGGTGGTGCTGTGCCTCCCTGGCGTCCGCAGGAAAATAGTCCTCCGTCCTGTATAGTGTGGGCAGCTCATACGTCACGGGTACTGGCGCAGGCGACTTGTTCCTGAAGGAGGGGAGCCCTGCGGATCCCAGCCACCTCCGCAGGGCCTGCGGGAAGGCCCCATGGTCCCGCTCAGCCTGAAGTACGTCCGCTTCCAGGAACGCAACATGGTGTCCGACCATCTTGACGAAGGCCTCTAGCCGGTCCACTTTGGCGGAGATGCCACGCATTTCTGTCAGTTTGGCCTTAAGGACTGGGATGTTTTCCTCCAGGATCTGTGACGTATCACTCCTGATCAGGTCAGCCAGGCTGCAAAACTCTTCCAGCCTGAGGAGCATGCCCTCGATGGTCTCCTCCACCTCCTTCGCCTCGGCCCCAGGCTCGGGGGTCAGGAAGAGCGCGAGCTCCCACGGGCTCCGGCCGATCGGCGTTCACGAGCAGCATCAGGAGGGCGGCGGGGTCCGGTTGGCGGAGGCTGCCTGGGAGCCCGTGGTTGCGCCCGGGCCTCCACTTAATTTTTATTTAATCATCACAATTTGTGAGGCACGTATTTTTCTATTTTTATGTCATAAATATGAGAACTGGGACTTATAGAGCTTATGTAATTTACCCAAAGTCAAGCAGTTGGTAAATGTCTCAGTCCATTGGAGCAACTAGAAAAATATACCTTAGGCTAGATAATTCATAAACAATAGAATTTTTTCTCATTGTTCTATTGGCTGGAGAGTTCAAGATCAAGGTTTTGGTAGATTTGGTGTCTGGAAAGAACTTGCTTTCTACTTCAACATGGAACTGTCTTGCTGAGTCATCTGGAGGAGAAGAGATGAACACTGCGTCCTCAAATGGCAGAAGGGCAAAAAGAAACAAACTCACTTCCCCAGGCCCTTTAAAAGGGGGCTGGTCCCATCCATGAGGGCTTTGCCATCATGGCTTCATCATCTATCAAAGGCTCACTTCTGAATACCAACACCTTTGGGTTTAAGTTCTAACACACGGATTTTAAAAAGATGCATCTATTCAAACCATAGTGGTATGGATGTTATTTTAAAATTATTATTAAGTACTTTATTTATTAGATCAATATTAGTTCCCAGCAAAACTGAGATGAAGGTATATAGATTTCCAACATATCCCTTGACTCCATACATGTATGGCCTCCCTCATTATCAACATCTGCCACCAGAGTGGTACATTGATGACAATTGAACTGTTGTTGACACCATGAACATTCAAAGTTCATAACTTATATTAGGGTTTAATATTAGTGTTGTACATTATATGGGTTTGAACAAATGTATAATGACATGTATTTACAATTATAATATCATACAGATCATTTATGTTATCTGCCCTAAAAATCACCTGTGCTCTGCCTATTTTTCCTCTCCACTGTCCAACCACCACAACCACTAATCTTTTTACTGTTTCCATGGTTTTACATTCTCCAGAATGTCATATTGTTGGAATCATATAGTATGCAGTCTTTTCATCTAGGTTTCTTTCACTTTGTAATATGCATTTAAGATTTGTATTAGTCAGGATTCTCTAAAGAGACAGGACTAATAGGACAGATGTATACACGAAGGAGAGTTTATTAAGGAGTATTGACCCATATGATCACGAGTTCAAGTCCCACAATAGGCCATCTGCAAACTGACGAGCAAGGAAGCCAGTCCGAGTTCCAAAACCTCAAAAGTAGGAAAGCCGACAGTGCAACCTTCAGTGAGTGGCTGAAGGCTCCAGAGCCCCTGGCAAACCACTGGTGTAGGTCCAAGTGTCCAAAAGCTGAAGAACTTGGAGTCCAATGTTGAGGGCAGGAAGCATCCAGTATGGGAGAAAGATGGAGGCCAGAAGACTTAGCCAGTCTAGTCCTTCCACATTTCTCTGTCTGCTTTTATCCTAGTTGCACTGGCAGCTGATTAGATGGTTCCCACCCAGATTGAAGGTGGGTCTGACTCTCCTAGTTCACTGACTCAAATGTTAATCTCCTTTGACAAGACCCTCACAGACACACCCAGGAACAATGTGTGTCAAGTTGACACATGGTATTAACCATCACAAGGTTCTTCCATGTCTTTTTATAGCTTGATTGCTCATTTTTTTTTTTTTTGGCACTGAATAATATTCCATTATCTAAGTGTACCACAGATATAACTCCCAAAATGAAATACTTAGGTATAAATCTAATAAATATGTATGTGATTTATATGAGGAAAACTACAAAACTACAAAAATTGGAGAAAATAAATCAGAGAACTAAATAAATGGTGAAATATTTTATGTTCATGGATAGGACAATTCAATATGGCCAAGATATCAGTTCTTCTAAATTTGATCTACAGATTCAATGCAATTCCATTTAAAATTCCAGTAAGTAATATTTTTAGATATTGACCAACTGATTCCCAAGCTTAGATGGAGAGGGAAAACACACAGTATAGCTGATCCAATATTGAGTGAGAAGAAACTTGGAGGACTGATACTACCTGACTTCAAGTCTTACTATGAAGGGACTTTAGTCAAGGCAGTGTGGTATTTATGAACTAGATAAATAGACCAATGGAACAGATAAGAGAGCTCTTAGTCAACTGGTTCTTGAACAAAGGAGAAAAGGCAATACAACAGAGCAGAGCAAAAATAATGTTTTCAATAAATGGTGCTGTAACAACTGGACATCTACATGCAAAAAAAAAAAAAAAAAAAAAAAAAAGAGACAAACTCTCTCCCTCAAGTCCTTTTATAAGGTCACTAATCCCATCCATGAGGGCTTTGCTATCATGGCTTAATCAGCTCTCAAAGACTCACTTCTGAATACCAGTACCTTTGGGTTTAAGGTTAAGACCTAACAATTTTCACAAAAATTGGATCATATATCTAAGTGTAAAATCAAAACTTGAAAACTACTAGAAGATATCAAAGAAGAAAATTTAGATGTCCTTGGATATGGGGATAGCTTTTGAAATACAATACCCAAAGCACAATTCATGAACGAAATAATAGATGATCTGAATTTTATTAAAATTAAGAACTTTTGCTCTGCAAAAGATGTAAAGAAAATGAGAAGACAAGCAACAGACTAGAAGAAAATATTTGTAAAAGACACATCTGATAAAAGATTCTTATCCAAAATATACAAAGAACTTTTAAAACTCAAAAGTAAAATAAAAACAAATTAAAAAATGAGCCAAAGACCTTAACAGATACCTCACCAAAGAGGATATAGAGATAGCAAATAAACATATGAAAAGATATTCCACATCATATGCAAATTAAAACAACAACGAGTTACCACAACACATCTATTAGAATGGCCAATAGCCAGAACACAGACAATACCAAATGCTGATAAGGATGTAGAGTAACAGGAACTGTCATTCATTCCTGCTGGAAATGTAAAATGGTACAAGACACTTTGGAAGAGTTTGGGAGTTTCTTGCAAAACTAAACATACTCTTACCATATGATTCAGCAATTGTGTTTTTATATATTTACTCAAAGGAGCTGAAAATGTCCCCACAAAAATCTGCACATGAATGCATAAACTTTATTCAAAATTGTCAAAAGTGGAGAGCAATCAAGATGTCCTTCAGTAGAGGAATGAATAAATAAATTGTGTCATTTGTGTGTTTTAACAAACACTTTTGTCAAATTATATTTACTATTTGTCAAGAATTGTTTTAAATAATTTATAATTATAAAATTTCTTACTTTGTTAGTATTGTTGTGATAGTCTTTTTTTTTTTTTAAGACGGAATCTTGCTTAGTTGCCAGGCTGTAGTGCAGTGGAGCAATCTCAGCTCACTGCAACGTCTGACTTCCTGGTTCAAGCCATTCTCCTGCCTCAGCCTCCCAAGTAGCTGGGATTACAGGCATGCATCACCATGCCCAGCTAATTTTTTTGTGTTTTTAGTAGAGACGGGGTTTCACCATGTTGGTCAGGATGGTCTTGATCTCCTGACCTTGTGATCCGCCCACCTTGGCCTTCCTACAGTCATTTTACAGATGTGTTATAGTCATCTTATTGAAGGATAAGACCTTCTATACATCCATAGATGTATAGATTCTATAAATCTATATATTGAAGGATAAGACTTATACTTCTATACATCCATAGATGTATAGTCCTAACTAATATCCTGAGCCTTCGGGAAAGGTTGTTTTATTATTTTTTAATTTTTTTATTTTTTTTTGAGACTGAGTCTGGCTCTGTCGCCCAGGCTGGAGTGCAGTGGCCGGATCTCAGCTCACCGCAAGCTCCGCCTCCCGGGTTTACGCCATTCTCCTGCCTCAGCCTCCCGAGTAGCTGGGACCACAGGCGCCCGCCACGTCGCCCGGCTAGTTTTTTGTATTTTTTAGTAGAGACGGGATTTCACCGTGTTAGCCAGGATGGTCTCGATCTCCTGACCTAGTGATCCGCCTGTCTCGGCCTCCCAAAGTGCGGGAAAGGTTGTTTTAAATAATCTCTTAAACGACATGAGTTAACTAATTTTTTTTTTGTTTATATCCATCCTATATACCTCTTTTTATTTTGAGGACTTTGAACCATTACTTTACCATTGTGTATAATACATTTTGTGTCACATTAAATTCTCATTTTTTTTTAGAAATTTGCAAATTCACTTCATTGCTTTCAAAAGGATTTGGAATCTCAGACTGAATTGTCCTGAAATCTAAAGGGCAGTTGACACAGTTTTGCCTCTCATCCTGAGCATCCTTATCCACCATTAAAATACAAGTCTTTTCACCCATCTTTACTCTCACAACACAGACACACATACAGTTACACATCCTACCTTACCTTGTCATTTAAAATCTATGCTTTCTGGTTTCTGAAAATTTCCTTGACCTTTATTTCTGTGCCAGTTATAACCTAATCTCCATTATAAATGCCTCCTTTATATCAGGAACCTTGTCACCAAATGTTCCTTCTCCTCTTGTCTTTATAAAGCCAAGTCTCCTCTGACAACTCTTTCTTAAGCCTGCTTATTCTTTCCTACCTCATAGTCTCTGAGGTTATGTCATGATTCTCTAGTATGTCTTTGCTCCTATTACAAATATTTTTCATGCACTCATGTAAAAACAAAACTCTTCTTTGTGTTTCATAATCTCCAGCTGTACATTTTATTGAATTATGGACCGCTTTTACTATCTTAGGTGAGAAATTGTCCCATTTCTTTCCAAAACGTAAAAATATCTTTTTCTTTCTTTTATCTTTTTTTTTTTTTTTTTTTTTTTTTTTACATAGGGTCTCAGCTCTGTCACCCAGGCTGGAGTGTGGAGTGCAGTGCTGTGACAATGGCTCACTGCAGCCTCAACCTCCAGGGCTCAGGCAATTCTTCCACATTAGCTCCTTGACTAGCTGGGAGTACAGGTGCATAGCACCATATCTGGCTATTTTTTATTTTTTATGGAGATGGGTTCTCGTTATGTTACCAAGGCTGGACTCAAACTCCAAGGCT